TAACATATCTATAGCTTGACCTTGAAAGGACATCTTACCTTGTAGCTATCTTGCATCTTCTCTTCCATGCAATGCATCATGGGTAAAAAAAAAACTAATTTAAACAAACAGGAATTGTAATGGGGCCAAATAGGCAGTGCATCGGTAATGAACTTCACATGCTCCGGACACACATATTAATCCAAAAATATTTTAATTCATAAATCTTAGACCCAAAATAATTATATTACCAGTAAGAATGTACCATTTCAACAATTTTTTGTATTTATGTATGTATTAAATTGTGCAGATTTATTGTGATATTTTGGGGTTAAATGTAAAAAAATAAACTCCGGACGCATTACGGTAATGAATTTCTACATGGAAAAATTGTGAAAAAAATATGAATTACTACCTCAACTACAAAAATAGCAATAGTACCACATACAATACACAATGCAGTTTGATATAGAATTGATTATTTTGATTATTTTTGTAATTTTGTCTGTCAATTTCTCACAGACATGACCAAAGGTGGTTTCGTGAGAATCACCCTGCTGGGTCCATTTTGTGGTCGGTTCGTTCTGTCACGGTGTGTGAAGCAAATGCAGATTAAAGTGAGAATTCCTTTATTTCAAGGCTAGGTGATAACAACGACAAAACAGAACACTCACCGACGAACTAGTCATGACACAAGACGAACCGACAAAGACAGACAGAAAAACCAGAACTTAAATACACACAAGACTAATCACAGAAACAAGACACAGGTGAGGAGGGAGGAGAAAACACAGGGGCACCAGGTGAACACAATCGGGTAAATTAGACACACCAGGGAAACTAACGACCACAGACAGATTTAAACAAGACACAACGCAGACAGAAACAGGCAAGACAGGAAGTGAAGACCTTTCAACATAAAACATGAAACAAGACAAGACAAAACACCATAAAGACAGATCGTGACACACACAAGGTATCACATGACATGACAGGGTGCAAGGTCATTGGACAGACAAATTACAAATTAATTTAGGTTTGCTTGGCTACTTTGAAGACTGCATGAACCGGTCAATGCCATTGGGGGCCCAAAAAAATATATATTAAAAACAATATTTAAAAAATATATATAAACTTTCTTTTTTTTTTGCGTTGCACCGGCTGCACGGTCGATAGTTACGCCACTGGTTGCACGTCACCACTACAAACACAGAAGACAGGAAACTCAGTACCCCCAAGTCTGTTAACCAGTAACTAACCATCAGTTCTTCAATCGCAGTCACTGAGGAACTCCTCATTAACTAACCATTAACTATCTAGTCGTTCCTTATTCACTACTCAGTAACTAAGCACATTTTGTGTACTTTATTGTAAAGTGTTACCCAAAGGAGGTGCTGAACATACACACAGAGACACAAAACTACCAAAAAGGAACACAAAACTATCAGAAAAAACTTCAAAATTATGAGTACTACCACAAATAGGCCAAACTACCATTAAAAGTCACAATAGTACCACAAGGATATGAAAAACATACAAAGAGCGAAAAACTAGGAGAAAAGTTGCAGAACATGCACAAATAGACACCAAATAACCATCCAAAGACACAAAAGTTATTCAGAACAATCGCTTTTCAATCATCTCTAAATAAAAAATTACCACTAACTCAGTATTATCTCAAAGAGACATAAAACTACAACAATTGTGTCTCTCTCAGTCCGGGTGTTCTGCCCATAAGTGGGGGGTGGTGGACAGTTTTGTCTCACAATCCGTCCATGCTCAGAAACAGTCCTATGTGTCACAGGGTCACAGAAGCAACACATTTCTCCAAATTCAGCCTCCATCTCCTGCTTCACATTTATCAACATGTTTGGTGGTTTAGAAGTGTGCATAGCGCTGCTTTACTTTAAGTAAGGCATCCTGCATTGACGGTTGTAAAGGGCAGCGGAGGTCTACACCTTTCAAAAAGCTCTTAATATTTAATCATCCTGTTAGAAGCCATTCACAAAGTAAACATGTTTGTCTCCCAATGCCATTTCGGAATTCATCTTAGAAAGAAGCTTACAGTACTATGAATACCATTCACTTAACATGGTTTGTATTGCTTGAAACAAAGGGAAAAACATGACAGATTATTAAAACATGCCACTCCTAATGACTTAAACTCAAGCATGCTAATGCTTGAGTTTAACCAAAACTTGCTTGCCAACCAAAACTTGTCCTGTGTATACCAACTCTCCACTCATGTGTTTTTCTTTTCTTTAACGATTCTGCAATTACTGACAAGTGGTGCGTCTCAAAATGTTGGTCTGCCAAACATTCTTTGAAATATGCACTTTGATATTGTATAATACACATGAGTGCACATGTCCTGACATTGTGTGAATGTCACAGAGAGGATAAATTAGTGTTTTTTTTTTAAAAATCTGACAGTCTGCCTGGTCTTCAAAGGTTGTTTTGGATGCCTTGGAAAAAGCTTTTAAAGCAATTAGAGGGACTGATGACAAGAAAGCGCTGTTCATTAAATAACCTCAAATCAAGCAACAGGCCAATGACATCTGCTGATAGGAGAGCACTTTTATGTTTAAAGCATCCTGCAAATGATTTGTAGCATCAAACAAATGTCATTCCTAATCATGCATCTGAAGCTTCGATGGATTCTGGGCTCAAGGGAAATCAATATGATTTTAGTTTTTATGTTTCTTCGATACAAAACTCCCTTTTTGCAACTTTTACATAGCACCCCGTGTCCTCTAGAAATAGCTTTTCCCCACCCTGTGTCTTGTTCCAGGGGAGAAAGCAAGTGTTTTATTCTCAGTGTTATCACTGCACCCAATTTGCATCGCTATCAGCACTCTTGAGCAAAAGTAGACCCAGTGGTGGAAGAAGTACTCAGATTATATACTCTAGTAAAAGTAGAAATATTCATTATCTTTAATGCATTTTTCTAACAGATCCCATGAGACCCAAAACAAGATTATTCACATGTAAATTGTGAGTTGATGTATTATGATCCTATGTGCTCTTTATTATGCTGAAAGATGTCTTTCTGTACTTCAGTTGAAAGCCAGATTAAAACATGTTGTCTCCCATTGATATCCCTCTAAAGCCATATACATGTGTTCTCGGATCAGACTCATATTATTCATTTTTGGAATTGCTTTGAATGCTGCATGCCTCACGATACTGCAGAAATGGAAGGATGAAGATCCCCCTGATATCTCATTATGGTTTAGAAAACGGATGTCCATCTTGCCATTGGAGAGATTATTACACGGTCTCTGAAGAACTGAGTGTGTTACGGACTGGTCCCCAATAGCATTATACATGGAAGAGTAATGGTTAAGTGTTATAACTCTGGCCGTACATTTAACAGAATAAGTCCTCACACATGGAAACCGCACTAGGTTGTTACTGATGTTGCTTTTTTCCCCTGTCTCTTTTTGTTTTTGTTTTCTGGGTTTTTATAGTTTTAGTTGATTTATATTTATATACTGTATATTTATTTACTTTAAGTGTAATGCTGTTGGAAATGTTAGCCATAATCAGAGGTGGAATGTAATACATGTATTTTCACACTATGCAACGTTATACTTTAATATAGGCAAATGTTGTACTTTTCACTCCACTTCATTTATTTTACAGATTGAGGTAACCTCTTTGAGGATTTAGATTATTACAAAACATATAAATCAACATATTAGTATATTAAAGGTTAAGCTACCCAGTTTTATCAAAAGTAATCCAAATAAATCCCACCTTTACCAAGTTCAACAGTGAAGTGATGCATCAATGATTATTATAACACAATTATTAATAGATGGTGTTCAAATCTGCAAAATTACTTCAGTTCCTTTTCGTACTTAAAGCATATTTTGATGCCAATACCTTGGCATCAATACTTTTATTTGTAACCAAGTACGTTTACCTTCCCCCCTGTATTGCTAAAGGTACTTCAATAAAGTAATTCTTCCACCTCTGCCTAATTAGCAATGTAAGTTATTTTAGTTTATATATATTGTCTATGAGCTAATAATCAGAATCCGTGAAGTAACTACCAAAATGTAGTTTAAGTATAAGTATAAATTAGCATAACATGAAAATACTAAAGTACCTTAAAATTGTAGCCTACTTGAGTACAATATTTGAGTAAATGTACTTGATAACATTTCACCACTAAACCAGAGCCCCTTTTCTCATTGCACATTTCCTAATGGTGATTTGTTTCAGCAACAAATGCATTTCCCTACATCCCAGAGACCTTAATGAGCAATGATCTTCCCTTGCCTCGCATGCAGTAACAAGTATTTAGCGGCCATTTGATACCTCTCTGTACATAACTTTATACAGTACATCAGCCTAAATGCACTGACAGCTGTGACACGTTTCCAGAGTTCCTAAGGACATTTGAACAAGTGACTGAGCGTCTGAGAGGTCAGCACATCATATGCTTCCCAAAATGGCCCTGAAGCCATGAAACGTGCAGCTTTGGAAGAGGGCTGGAAGAGATTCAACAGTCACTCATGCAGCCCCAAATGGAGATAATGTCCAGTATTACACAAGATCTCCTCACCCGGACATAAACCAAGGCATCACCGGGGACCGCGAGGTGCGTCCATGCGTGAGATCCTAGACCCCGCTCTCTGGGTTACCTCTACGGCTTTTCCGCAAACACAACAGCCAATGAGACAAACTGCAGCTTCTGCAAAGAATACCTTTAAAATCTGCAGGATAATTACAACCACAATAAAGAAAAGGAAGCTTAAAAGGGAGACAATTTTCACAAGTATGAAAGGACTGAAAAATAAATAAATCGACCAAACAATGGGTTCGATTTGTTCGAATTTGGCGTATAAAGCAACTCATTGTCTCAGTTCAATTCATATTGGCTACACCGATTTCATGCTTTTACTTTTGTTTGTAAAGTTTGATACAACCAAAAATAAAAAGAGTTACGAGCAAAGATATACTAAGGCCTACAAATACAACCCAAACGGTCATCGTTACGCATTTCTACTCACCAAACAGGGAGTTTGCGAAGCCGTACCACATGCATCCTCCTTCCCCTATGAGCCACCTTCCCTGCGTGCTGGCGGCGAAGCTGAACGGAGTCCCCAGCACGCAAACCAGCAGGTCGCTGATGGAAATGTTAATCAGGAGCAGGTTGATGGGAGACCGCAGCATCTTGTAGCGGCAGAAGAGAATGAGCACCAGCAGGTTGTTGAGCAGTCCGAAAGTGCCGATGAAGCCCAGGCACACAGCCACCACCAGGTTCCCTGTCGGACTCAGGGTGGACCGGTAGGAGCCTCCCCCCTGGTACCTGTCCCCGACCGCGGCACACAGCGCGCTGTTTGCCCCCGCGCAGCCGCTCAGGCTCACGTTGGACACGATCATCGCGGTCCGGTGTCCCGGCGGCGGCACACTGGGTGGCCACACTGCACCGAACGAAAGCTAATGTGTCGTTGGCATTTATTTTTAATTTTTCTGTGTTTGGGAAAAATAATTGTCTTGACAAGCTGTCGCGAGCAACACTTTTTGCTTTAAGACATGGCAAATAAAGAATGAAAATCCAAACAGAAATATGGGAGAATTGAGAAAAAGTGAGTTCGCTGGAGATATCAAACTCTGTGCAGATCAGGGGATTGTTCGGAAAAAACAGCTTTTGGTTACCCACTGTGTGCAAAGACGCTCCTGTCTTCTCTCTCTGTCCGACTTAAATCACTGTTGTCCGCTCTCCAGCAGTTAAAGGGGGGCGGAGTGGGGAAGAGAGCAGCAGACCAACCAGACGATCAGCATGAGGCTCTCAGACAGATCTGTGTTTCAGCTCTGTCTCTCGAGGGAGAGAGAGAAAGTCCAACTTAAAACTTCCAGGAGCTGTTCTCTCTCTCTCCCGGTGCCGGTCCAATGAGCGCGAAATGATGCGCGGCGCTGTCCATTGTACTGAACGCCTGCTACACCGACAAACAGCTTACGACAGTCCGTCTGCATCAGGGACGTGCACAGACATTATGGGGGGCGGGAGCTCAAGTGAGAAAAAGGGCACTTCCCATAATTATTTATGAAAAAATGTTTTAAAACAAAAATGTATATATAGTTTCACATCTCTGACTTACTGACCAATACATTTTAATACCCTCACACTCACGCAATTGTTTAATACTCAACAGAATTCTACAAAAATAATCAGCTAACACAGAGACAATAGTCTTCTTTAGTATTCACTACGGCTGCACAAGAGCAGACAACAAACTAGCACAATTAATAGTTATTACAGTTTTTCTCGATTGCTAACACACTTTTTTTTTTAAATTGCTCAGTTTCTCAGAACACTAAACACAATTCACAAAACCACACACCCAAAGTGCAAAACTCCTCATTTCTCCTGCTAAATGAAGATCTGCACTCAAGGCAAGGCAAGTTTATTTATATAGCACTTTTCAACACAAGGCAATTCAAAGTGCTTTACAAAAAATGAAAGACATTAAGAAAAAGGCATTTAAAATCAGTCACTCAAAACTACATAAACACTTACCAAATGCAAACTTTAGCACCAAATATAACACACTTCATTCCTAATACTAGATTGTTTGACCACCCAACTACACACTGCTGAGCATTATCTAAAGCACTCTCATCTGTTATGGGCTATGCTCTGTACATAGAGGGTTCTGCAGAGAAAGATTGCTTGAGTTTACAGAAATACAGTAAATGAAGAAATACAAATGAGTTGTTGAAAAACATCACATTTTATTCAAAACTAAGATTGTGCAACATGCATCTCAGCACATAGTTATATGCTTCGGATCTCTCTAAGTGTGATGGCGTTGTTTGCCAAAACCCAGTTTGTAACTGCTGCTTCCTGTGCCTCATTGGAAATCCTTAGCCTTCCACCTCTTTGTTTCTCAGTCCTTCAGATAAACAACAAAGATATAGTGGTTGGTCAGTGTCTGTGTTGCATACAAGTAAGTTTACACTAAATTGTGCATCATTGTTGTACAGTTATAGTATGCAACATGCCATCAATTCAATTACAGTAATGAAGTAAATACGTTTCACACAACAGATATAAGCACTGATATATCATGAGAGTATTCTTCTTTGTCCACGTCCTCTCCCTCCACCTCTACCTCTCATTCTTCCTCCTCTCACTCTCACCCACCTCTTCCTCTTGCTCTTGCTTCCATGTTGGCTTCCATTGTTGCTGTAAGAAAGTACTCACCTGTGGTCTTTTCATAGTGCTAACATCCTGATTGATGAGCCAACAATTATGCTATCAGGTGTTTGGTCAGGTGGAACGTGTTTCTTGATCATTGTGTGAGGCATTTTGAATATCAGTGTTTTAAACCTGCTAACACATGACTTTATGTCAGATGCCTGTGTCTTACGTGGAGAAACGTGTGCAGTGGTTTGCAAAAAGTGCCATGTTGATTTGCAAATTGTGTGAAAAGCTGAAAACGTGTTTAGAGTTTTGGAGATTTGAGCCGATGTTTTGCTCTTTGAGTGTCAGTTAAAATAATTGTGCTTCATGTATAATTTTAGTGTGTTAGCAATCGAGAAAAACTGTAAATGAGCAGCCAACAATCAAAATTATGAAGTTACTGTTTAAGGACATTACAGGCAAAAATATCGTTTTTTCATGTAGCCTACTTGTTATTTTTGGTCTATTTTGCTTCCATGTTTTCTTTCACTCTAATGGAAATAAAACTTCCAAGAAACACATATAAATGTTGTTCGTTTTATACCATGTCTGAATTCATCTAGATTTAAAGCTAATCTGCATATATAAACATAACATTTCAGGGGAAAATACTGACTTGACTTAAAGTTGTCCTATCATGCAAAATGCACTTTTGTACGTCTTCATACATGAATATGTGTCCCCGGTGTGTCAGGGAACTCACCAAGTGTCAGAAAACACAACCCTCTCTCTTTTCCTCCATACCCAAATCTCTAAAAACAGGGCTGCAACGGATCTGATACAGACTGATACAGATTTGAAATTGTTCTGACGTCAGAAACGGGGTGCTCAGCCTATATGGACAACTCTCCACCTATCAGGGGAATGAGAGGTTGCGTGGCATGGTAACAGCAAGGTAACAGCATGGTAACAGCATGGTAACAGCATGGTAACAGCATGGTAACATGACGCTCGTGCCTCGCCCCCCTCCTTTGCAGGGGGGCGTGGTCATTTGCCACAGAATCAACCCTTGAGAAGACAGGGCTGGAAAAGAGCAAATAGAGCGAAATGAGGCATGGCTAAAATGCATGATCTGTTTGGTATTTTGAAAAAAAAAATTCACAGACATGTTTTATATAGTATGGCCCTACAATATATTATTCAAATATAGCATGATAGGTCCACTTTAAGTAACTATCTGGGGAAGTTGTGAGGTGATATGTTTTTTTGTTTTATCCTTTTCACCTGCAATGCCTTGGTAACTGCATGCAAATTAGCGCATTTTAATTAAGCCTGTTAACGCCTAATTTGCATATCAATGTGGCGATTGTGATGACGTTATTAGATACACATTTTACTGTATTCACTTTAAGTGTCTCCCCTTTAGTAGGCTACAGTACATTAGACTGCTGCCCATGATAAATTGCCTTAGCTAAACCATGAGCTAATTTATCCATTAGCTAGTAGCCTACCTTAGTTAACTATAATTGTTATTGTCTTTTAGCTAATTAGATGTAAACTCGAGGCACTGGCAGCTAGTCATTTGTTCATCACCACTCGCCTTCAAAATAAGCCAAGAAAAGCGAGCATAACATGGGAGAGTAAAGTGGGAGGTGCTGCCACCTGTCTGTCTGAAGGGACTGCCGATGACTGTCCTCACCGCTGTGCGCGAGACGTGGAGGGAGACGTGGAGGGAGGGAGGATAGAGAGAGCATTGGAACTTCACAGTCTCATCTCCCGACCTGATATTTTTATTTGTTATTCAATCAATATATTTTTGGAAAGGGAAACTGTGCACAAACACACTCTAAAAACAAATGCCTTGGCTCAACAAAGAAAATCAACGCAACAGTATGCATCGATGTTTATTGAGTTAAGACAACTTCTAATGAAATTGTCTTAAAGCAACAAAGTTATTTAAGTTAGGAGAGAAGGCTTTTCCTCTACAATCAGAGGTGTTTTTAATTACCACTTACTTAATAATTGGTAGCATAAACACAAGTTTTGAAGTTGATTATTCAAAAGATTAAGTTGTTCCTACTAGTTTTACCACATGATTTAAAAATAATTTTAATTTGTATGCACTTAATTACCATCATTGTGAACACACGTTTTTAAGTTTACAACCATTTATAAATTAAGTTGCTCCAAATATATTGTATTCAATAGTTTTTTTTCTTAGCTTTTTCATGTTTTTGCCTTTAAAGAAAGAAATTAATTGATTCCACAACAAAAATATTAAGCAATTCACTTTTTATTTTGAACTGCAGTTGTTTATTTCAACACATGATGTTTCAATCAGGAGAGACTTCATTTTGTTTGAAAATTTATTGACACATGCCATATGATAAGGTGCATGAACACCTGAAATCACAGCTGACTGCAGGAGAGAGGAGAACCATTTTATAGTTTGGCTGCAGCACGGTGATTGGCTGCTGGAGAATGAGGTGAAATGTAATAGGTTAAAGAGAACGCCTGTGATGAGCTGATTATATGCAGCTGCGGAGTGAATGTATACACACCCAGTCTTCCTGAAAGAACTTGCGCTGAGCTTCATTTCAATCTTGAAAAAAAAGATAAATAACACAAATTTAAATTGCCCCACAAATAATAAATAAACACATTAGCCATATTACCATGGGACATGGGGACACAGCAAATAAATGCTGCCATCACAACGAAGTTAGAGGCCTTTGCATATTTAAAACCAGCCCCAAATATGTAAAATCTGTAAAGTCTTTGTAAAACTACAGAAACAAACTCTCAATGGCCACCAGTCTGCAGATCACACACATCCATTTTACAAAAGATGTAACAAAGATGTTTACACTGCCGACAGTCATTATTTCAAACAGTATGAACACATTTAACACAGAATGCTTGCTCATTCATTTGTTTCCCTCCACCACGATGGTTGCCATCATATGGTCAGATCCTGGGTGGACCGGTCACTGATGATGGAGATATTCATGTCCTTTTGAAGCATATTAAATAATAGGTTAGCGCATAAGAGATAATGAATTAGGTAACTGCATACTTTTTAAACTGTCACTCTTAGCTAATTCAGAGCCATTATTACCAGCTGCTAAAGCAACGCTGGTATTGTTTTCCCCTATTGAATCTGCATGTGTGTGTCGTCATGGCAATGTGGTCCTGAAGACACACAGGTGCTTTTGAGTACTTTGCCTAGTGTTTAAATGCATGTGGACAGATTTTGTCAATCACAATCGTGCAAGTTTTAGTGTATCTTCTCATCTTTTTTGCAGGTTCCATACAATAGTTGAACTGGTTAAGTGAAGAGCAGAAGCCACTTTTCAAATGTTACACAATCCTTTTCCCATGCCATTGCTGTCAACACCTATCCATGCTGAACAT